GGCTCCGACTCCGTCCCCGTGATAATTGGCGTTGCTGCCCGCGTGTGCTAGTATCTCTGCGATACCGGTCGCGTCCACTGTGGCCGCGCGTACTGGAACGACCAGAATTGGAACTGCGTCCGCTGGAAAGAGGGGCGCCCTCCCTTGTGGTTGGCACCTCTGTGGTGTCGATCGTCACGTTTGGTCTGGAGGCAGGCGGCGTATCTGAGCGTGCCATTGCCGCTTTTTGGTGCTTACGCTGTTCGCGCACAAGTTGTTGAGTGGTTGCCACCATCTGCTGAGTGGCCTGAGCAAGCGACATCAGCGTGGCCACGACGGCATCCGAGATCCCTGGCGCTGATGTCACCGGAGACGCAAGCAAGGCAGATGGCGCTCTCGGAATAGTATCTGTTGATGACGGCCCTGGACACGTTGTCGTGTGAGACGCACTTGGTTCACCTGATGATACTTCTTGTTGTTGCGTAGAACCACGAGTTTCCGACGTAATCCAATTCTCTTCATTGGGTAGGCATAGTCTGAGAGGCGTATCGAGAGACACGATTGTGGGTAGATCGTGGGGTAAGGGCCGCCCGCGCGACATACCAACTGCCAGGATGTCAAATGGGCGATTCCGAATCACTGTCAGCATCCGCATCCACTCCTGAAGTGGAACTTGTCGGTCCGACGTACGTCCGCGCATACTCCAAAGGCGTAATCGAGATAACACGACCAAATTCGGTGACCAACGGGATGGCCACTGTACCGAAGTCCACCCTGGTGTCAGATCCTCTGGGTACGAAAGCGTCGCATAGTAGGCGCTGCAGGTTCGAGTCATTCGCCGAAGGCCTGATGAACTCCGCCCACCGAGAGCGGAACCGCGCGGTGCGGCGATTGGGGTGACTGCTGCTGCGTGCCCCGTGGCACCAACCAACGGCGTACTCGTGACGCGATATCAGCGAATCCCGGGCATCCTGGGCTGGGAGGAGCACGTGGATGCGAGTATTGGACTCAGGTTGCCGAACGGCCACCACACACATGTAGTTCGAAGTTGGTCGGAGTGCGACGCCCGACGGCGTCACAAAGGATAGCCGATTGCACGTTCGGTATGCAACGACTTGGCCGACCAGATAGACAGCCTGGGTGGCTTCGATAAAGCGGTTGGGATCTGAACCGTCACCGTCAGCTACGAAGCAAGTGCGAAACCGCACAAACCGAAATAGCACGAGAAACGGGCGATCCCGCAGTTCCATGGAGAGGTCCTCGGATGTGCGAGTACGTCTACTAAACGGGATCACGACGTTGACAAAACCTGCGTCCGTGTCATCTGTAGATGGCACTGTTGACTCATTCGGGTCATATCTTCGATGAATTAAGTCGCACACCCAACCGGGGCGGCGGCTTGAATCGTCAATCACAAAGGGGCTTGGATGTCCTGGCTGGATGTGGCGAGCCTCGCGTAGCCGGGCGTAGATGGGTCC